TTTACTGCGTACCCTTTGAAATTTTTTTACACGTGCTACTGGCAGCTTACCCTACGGGTGCCCTTGAGTGGCACACAATGGATTTCAGCGGATGCTGATCACAACTAAATGTGGTGCCTGGAAAAATCGAAGGCAATGAAAAAAGCGGCTGACAAGCCTGCTTAGTTAGATTCCACTAACATATGCTTCCAGGAAACGAGAGAATCTGATGTAGACAAATCTGTCAAAATGATAATTCCACGGATAGAGAAGAGGCTGAAGCTACTGAGTAATTAACAACCCTTGCAAAGTGTCTCACAGGCTGCTGAAATTCCAATTCTATCTACCCTTAGATTGGAACCATAACCGAAATGCAAAAATACATGTTATTATTTTAAGCCTCTCCAGATGGGAAGAATGCATAGAGCCTTAAAAGATGGACGATTCTTTTGAAACATCCAAGTACTTCGCAGAAAGCAGTTTGCCTTCCCCCCCCCCCCCCCAAAAAAACACCCAAAACCACTCAACAGAGTATCAGGCACCAGCCAGGTCAGTGTCACTCAATATTGCACCCCCAAATTAATTGCTTGATGAATAGAAAAGAGTTCTAAATGGGCTTTGAATTCTGGGGACTGGGGATTCTACACATCTCTGGAGGGCAGCTGGGAAAGCGAGGCCGGAGGGAGCCGATCCTAGTCATCCCAAGGGAAGCCCGCCCGCTGCCACGGAGTAGAACCGGAGTAGAACCTGGGCAACGGGAGGAATTGGCCAAGCCACAGGTTAAGGCTCTGCTGCTCCCAGTTAACCGGCTGCCAAACGGGCCGAGGCGGAGGGAGAATGTTATTATTACCTTGGTGGTGCGGATGTGCTCCATGATGCCACCACGCCCAAACCAGTCCAGCAGCCACCGGAACCACCAACGGCAACCACCGCCTGTATCTAACTGGAAGCAGACCCGGCGTCTCCAGGAGACGCTTCCTGATAACTGAAGGGAGAGGGTTGGGAGGGAAGGAGGGAGGGAGGAAGGAATGGCAGCTGGAAGGCCGACGTTTCCCACAGCGACCCCTAGTGCTCGGAAGACCCAGTTTGTTCGTTCGTTCGTTTGTTTGTTTAATGAAAGAATTAAAGCCATTCGCCACCTATCTCTCTATCCAAAGCGAATTTGAGCTGCTTACAGTGCAACAAAGTAGATTATCAATATATATCGCTATATTTAAAATGATAATGGGTTAAATATCAACAGTTCGTAAAAGACAAGTAGTGGGTAGACTTACCTGCATCCTTGTATTCTTGTGCCTGCATTGGTACATCAAAGAAAAGTTATGGATTCATGAAAGAGAAAAGTGGCGATAATTGACATATCACATTAACTTAATCCCATCCTAAATGGATGTGATTATTGCTATTATTGCATTAGATGGCGTTAGGATTCGATACATTCAGGAAACTAGCAGGGCAAACTAGTGTACATCAACAGGGAGCAAATCCCACACTCACTAGCACTGATGATGGATGCTACCTAGCAGGTAATGAAATATCTGCAAGCAAACACCCAAGTTCAGAGATTCCAATGACTCAAAAAATTCAGAAAATTAGGCTACCATGTTTAAGATTTTGCCCTGATTTTACTTATAGTGAATGAAGGAATAATATGTATAGGCAGTCCTCGATTTACAACAGTTCATTTAGTGACCGTTCAAAGTTACAACAGCACTGAAAAAAGTGACTTATGATGGTTTTTCACACTTACTAACTTTGCAGAATTCCCGTGGTCACATGATTAAAATTCAGGCGCTTGGCAAGTGGTTCATACTTAATGATGGTTGCAGTGTCCTGGGGCCATGTGATCCCCTTTTGTAAACTTCTGACAAGCAAAGTCAATGGGAAGCCAGATTCACTTAACAACCATGTTGCTAACTTAACAAATGCAATGATTCACTTAACAACTGTGGCAAGAAAAGTCATAAAATGGGGCAAACTCACTTAACAATGTTTCGCTTAGCAACATAAATTTTGGGCTCACTTGTGGTTGTAACTCAAGGACTACCCGTATGTGCAAATCTGCCTGTGTTTCTGAACAATGTGCTTCTTTGCTTCTTCAGCATTCAGTTTTCTATCATTCTCTTTGGCCTGTCCTAGAAAGCAAGCAAAATGGCAAGAAAAAAACCGTTCTGATAAGCCCTGACCAGGATATTTCTCTCATGTTAAATGTTTAGTTAGGTTCACTGATTATTGCCACATACTGGTATTGATACATGGTACATATCAGAGGGCTTCAGCAGGTTCTGACCAGTTCTGGAGAACCGGTAGCAGAAATTTTGAGTAGTTTGAAGAACTGGTAAATACCACCTCTGACTGGCCCCGCCCCATCTATTCTCTGCCTTCCAAGTCCCAGCTGATTGAGAGGAAATGGGGATTTTGCAGTAACCTTCCCCTGGAATGGGGAGGGAATGGAGATTTTACAGTATCTTTCCCCTGCCATGCCCACCAAGCCACGCCCACCAAGCCACACCCACAGAACCAGTAGTAAAAAAATTTGAAACCCACCACTGGTATTTATGCAATGTATATCTTGCTCTATGAAAATATAACACACCTATTTTGTTCCTTTATGTATTTTGACACTTACATTTTAATATTTTGGTCTGAAGGCAATGGGTTATAAGTTAATGGCGCAACAAATAAGTCAGTGTTGAAAGTGTCACAAAGACACTGATTGGTTAACTGGAATGCTTGTGACATCATCCTCCTGGCCAATCAAACAGAGAATTGCTAACCACCAAGGACTTTATGGAACAAATTGGCTTGTAAATTTTCAGGGAAAGGGTTAAGTTAATCATTTCTTTCAATTTTTACAGATGATGGGAAAGATTCACATTAGCAACAGTAATGTCAAGGAAGAAAGACTTTTCAAACCTGGGGCTTCTCTGGCGAGGGGGTCCCAAGGCCAATAATGCAATCAGGTAAAAAAAAAAAAAGTCAGAGTATTCAGGACAGTTATTAAGGTTATTCAAAGATTTATTGCATCAAAAAAAGGTCCTTTGGTGATACATCAATAGCATGTACAGATATACATCTGGGGTGCTGTTATTGCTACTCCTAAATAATATTAAGTCATGTGTATTAGATTGTAATTATTGAGAGAGCTGAAAATTATGAATAGTCTTAGGACATCTCAAGGACTAAAGTACTGATTGCGGTATGTTCAATGAGATGGGTTAAGAATTATCTTGAAAAAGTATTTTTTCTGGATTGTTTTTAAATATCTATTAAATAAATTAAAAATGAGAAGGAACATTATGTACTGAATGCATATATCTTTCATTGGGTGTAAGATGAAGGAATAGGAAATAAGGAAGTGAAAATTGCCTACAAGTATGATTTTTAACAAAACCATAACTGGCTGTGACATTCTTGAACCTTTTTAACACCTATACAAAACAGGGATTTTTAGCAGGTGATAAACTTTTTTTTTGCATCAGGAATGGATTATCTGGGGCCCTGGATCGAATTCAAACTTCCCTGCAAGAGACAAGTCCAGACATTTGGTAAGAGCCATTTCTCCTTGTCTCACAATTAGGCAATGTCAAACAAGAAAAAAAAATCAGAAGGCTACCCCATGCCTTACTTGCTATGTGTCCTCAAATAAATAATATCTAAAAATATTATTGCTATTATTTCCCTTTATGTATGTATGTATGTATGTATGTATGTATGTATGTATGTATGTATACGTATGTATGTTTGGTCAGCATAAGGCAGCAAACATACTTAACACTCCTGCCTATTTTCCCACAATTCTGTGAGGTTTTGATTTTAACATAGTTTTACATCAGTTTAATATGTCTCTTAAGAGTGCAACATTCATGTCTTCTTCCTTTGTGTGGGACCATGTAGGTCACTATTTCTCAACCTCAGTCAATTTAAGATGTGTGGACTTCAAATTCCGGGAGTTGAAGTCCACATGTCTTAAAGTGGCTGAAACTGACTACTCTAGACTTTATTTGCATTATCAGAATTGCTTTTCCTCCAAAATACTGAACAAATCCAAATTCTTCGGTTCCACGTGAAATAAGTCTATTTAAACCAAGAGCTAAACTGTCCACTTTTGTGCAACTAGAATATAATGCACTGCACATCTGCTATTAGCGGAAGCTTCTCCTTCCATGTGAGGGGAGAAAAGGTAAAAGGCTCCCCACAAGTTTTTCTGAATTAAAATACTGCACAGGTAGTCCCCAATTTACAACCACAATTGAGTCCAGAATTTTTGCTGTTAAGTGAGACATTTAAATAAGTTTTGCCCCATTTTACAACTTTTCTTGCCACATTTTGTTAAAGGAATCATGGATTAGGGGTTATATTAGTAACACGGTTGTTAAGAGAATCTGGCTTCTCCACTGACTTTGCTTGTCAGAAGGTCACAAAAGGGGAATCACATGACTCAGGGACACTGCAACTGTCATTAAGTGTGAACCACTTGCCAGTCGTCTGAATTTTAATCATGTAGCCATGGGAATGCTTCAAAGTTCGTAATTGTGAAAAACGGTCATAAGTCACTTTTTTCAGTGCTGTTGTAACTTTGAGCAGTCACTAAATGAACTGTTGTAAGTTGGGGACTACCAATTCCTTCATTCACTTTAAGTAAAATCAGGGCAAAATCTTAAAAACATGCTGGCTTAATTTTCTGAATTTTTTGAGCCATTGGAGTCGATGGCGCTCTCCGTTGTCAATCATATGAATGTAAATCAAACGACCATGGGGATGCTGAAAGGGTCCTAAGTGTGAAAAAAAACCGGTCACAAGTCACTGAATTTCAGTGCCGTGGTAACTTTGAGCGGTCACTAAATGAACTGTTTTAAGTCGACGAACTGCCTGTATTCCATTCAATGCAATTCGATTTCTAGGGCGCGGATTTACTAAAGATCCATCAGGCGGGAGGGGCGGGGCCTGGCGAACGCCAGTCTCAGAGCGCGCGCGCGCATGCGCGGCTGCGCTTTCTGCGCCGTCGTTGATCCGCGCGCCTTTGACTGCTGCGCTTCTCGCGCAGCCCCCCCCCTCCTCGAGCGTCCCTCTTTGAAGTTCCCGCGCGGGCGAGCAGAGCAGTTGGCGTCCCTGCCGCGCCGGGGCGGCTGAAGCCCTGGCTGTGGGGAGAGCCCCTCGGGCCTGCTGCTCCCTTGGGCGAACCGCAAGACCCCGCGGCTGAGGTCTTTCCGCCGCCGCCGCCGCCATCATGTCGGCGGGCTTCTCCTTCGGAGCTGGGACTTTGGCTTCCGCTACCGCGGCTGCTGCGGGCACCGGCGGGGGAGGCGGCGGCGGGGGCTTCTCTTTCGGAGGCACCCCGAGGTGAGTTAAGGGGGCCATTCCTGAGGGTTTCCACAGGAGCCTCAGCGCCCCGAACAGGGCACTGGCGCTGCACGTGTCCCTGGTTTTTCCTTATTTTACGACGGTTGAAGGCCGGGTCGCCCCAGAGATGGGGAAAGCTGCTGTAGCTCCCCGGCTTCTCTTTTAAAAAAATAAGAAGAAGAAGAATCCTAACTAGAAATTGGAAACAAAAGGATCGCAGCCTTTCCAAGCTGGAGCGAGTGTCAAACAAGGCCAAATATTTTATATAAGTACTGAGAGTCCTTGAACATCTGTTCCTTTTTTAGTGAGATTTGTTTTGTTTTAGGGGAAATGTATTTAAATAAACATTTATATGACTCCCAATTCATATGAGTGACTGTCTAGAGGCGGCTAAACATTTAAGATGAAAAAGTAAAAGCCCATTAATGATTTAAAAACATAAAATTAAATCACCTAAGATGAAGTACATGTATGGCTTTATTATATGGCTTTTCAAAAGAGATTTTAGGCAATTGATTTTTTTATTTTATTTATTTATTTATTATTGAATTTCTATACCGCCCTTCTCCCTGAGGACTCAGGGCGGTGTACAGCCAAAATTAAAAAACATGCAGGACAAATATTAAAAAAACAATTAAAAGATATATAAATTTGGCCCAATTAAAACTCATTACCAATTAAAACGTTTAAAACATTTAAAAACAATTAAAAATTTCATCTTAAGCCAGCCCGGCTTGCTTGAAAAAATGGGTTTTAAGGGCACTACGGAAGGCACTGAGGTCCTGGATTCTCCTTATCTCTGGGGGGGAGCTGATGAAAGCTGATTTTGGCTTTCATGTCACTTTAAGCAAAAAAAACAACCCCAAGCATTGCAGAGTCTCTCTATGGGGACATATGCACAAGGTTTTTTTTTCTCACTGTAATTGTTTTAAAAAAACTGAAACATTTGTACAACAGTTTTAACCCATCTGTTCCTCCAGTCCATTGAAATCGTCCTCCCTCTTTCTTGAATCTAAATTATAGGACAGCTGTAAAACATATCTATTTTATAACATGTTATACACATGGGGGATGTGATACATTTAAAATTTATTTTCATACACAACATTAACTACTTGTTTGCAACCTTCCCTAATTCACTTGCCCTGAAATTTATCAATGATTGGAGATGATTCTGAGTTGTTTCAGATCTCTGGAAAGCATCAAATTAGGAAAGGCTGCATACTTTCCATATCCCCTTTCAGTACAACATTAATGCAGTCAGCTAGCATTTTATGATGAGTATGCTCTGTCATATTTGGAGCATTTTGACTGGTTTTTATGCTCCTTTAGAATTTTGTATATTGGCAGTTTTCATCAAATCTGATGTAAATCTGCAAATCTCTTTTGTGTATCAGTTAATTGATGAAAATTTGATTTTGCAATCATTATGTATCAAATGTGAGCTTAATTTCATTTTTTACAGCTGAAATACACTAGATAATTCATTGTACTTTGGTGTGTGTGTGTTTATTAACAATACACCAGGACAATAGCAGTAACTAGAAGGATGTGCTATAATAAGCAGCAATATCTAAGAAGATGTTGTGCTGGCATATTTTTGTGGAATAGATATGTAAGAAAATTATTGATATCTAGCAATCTTTTTGCTATTTTAATAACGAGTTTTTTTGGAAGTTTAGGTTGAAACTTCAGTTTTAACCTAATTCTGTAAATATTAATATTAGCTTGTAGACATTTAATCCAATCTCTGGAATATCAAGATATCTGGAATATCAAGATTTACAGGCAGTGAACAGAAAAAAATGTGATTCCTTAGGACTTTCTGCAAGTTAAGATTTTGTTTGAGTAGCAGTATTAAATTTTATCCCCTCAAAATAGGGGATGTACTTATAAGTCTTCCATAACTCTGAACACATTGGAAGAAGCAGCAAGTTAATAAAAACTTTTGTTAAGGCAGGGTTCAGACACAGTGCCAACATGTTTGATGTACAGATCAGCATCATATATGAGCCCATTCTTGGACAGCTGGTAGTTAATTTTTCTCAACAGTATGAGACTATAGTTTGTTTTAACTATGGGTTATATCTGAACACAGAAATCTTATTTGGTTATGTGCTCTGTCCCTTTTTCTGGATACCAGTAGAATATATTAGCCAAACAAATCATTAATTTACCTTATACAAAGTTGGGGTTCAGTACATCATGGTTTAAACAACTGATAGTATAACATACAAATATAGCAGCATTAATATTGTTAATGTTAAATAGGTTAAACAATCTTAGCTGTTATAAACTCTCACTTGGTTGAAGATGAAATTTCAGTTAATTGCATTTAAATTAAGACATGCTGTTTTGTAAAACTAGCAGTGCAGAAATAAAATGAACAATGAACATGTCCTTAATAATTTTTTACTTTATAATTTAGCTCAACTGGAGGCCTTAACTTTGGGACGTTGGGTTCAACAGCTACTGCTACTACAACTACTCCTTCTGTGGGTTTTGGCACTGGACTTTTTAGCTCAAAGCCTACCACAGGTTTTACCTTAGGAGGGACTAATACAGGTAAAACGTATTTCAGTTATTCCTATCAAAATGTGCATTGATTAGCTTGAATTAGTTATTGAATTGAATTAGTTACACCCTTCCTCTTGAAATTTGACAGACCTCTACCCTCTTAACCTTCCAAAAAGCACTTAAGATCTGGCTTCCCCGCCTCCCCCCCTCCCCCCCAAGCCCTGGGGTAGGTTGAGGTGGCTGAGGATTTAACAAGGGACTGCATGTTGAAGTTTGACATTGGTGCTAGGTTTTTAATGTTTTTGGTTTTAATAGACATGTATTGTGCTGTTTTTACTGGTATTTTAATTGTTGATTAGAGCCACCCTCAGTATAAGGCGGGCAGCTATATGAATTTTATAAAAATTAAAAAGTGCCTTTATTTCATTTATTTATTTGTATACCACCTTTATTATTTTTTACAAAGGTAATGAACCTATCCAACATACCTTCTTCTTATTTTTCCCACAACAATCACCCTGTGAAGTGTGTTGGGGCTGACAGAGAGTAATGGTGCAAGGTCACCCAGCTGGCTTTCATCACAAAGGCAGGTCTAGAACGCATAGTCCCAGTTTCTAGCCTGATGCCTTAACCATTAGATCAAACTGACTTAATGACAGAATAGTCAAATAACATGAATTCAGTTATGATAACTTCTCCAGATGAAGGCGAATATATGTTTCCCAGGATAATGCAGCAGGATCCAATCTGGGTTGGTCACTTGGGTTGGTCTAACAGAGTGTTTGCTGTTCTGTGTATGATATTTATATGGTGCCTGTTGTATGTGGCTTTTTAGATGCTGAGTGGGGTGTGTTGATGGTTGGCTTTTAAGTAGTTTGGCTGTCATTTGCTTGTGCTGTCCATCCCTCGCCTTCTAAGTACTTGATATTCTGATGGTAAATCAGCACTCCTCTTGACTGATGAGGGGCCTGTATCCTAGGCTTCAATCACTTCCTTGGCTGTTTTTGTGTCTGCTTGTCCCAACAATCTTAGCTGCAAAATTGAATGTGTGTCCTTATTCATTGCAGTATGAGGCTACTAATGAGTTTGGATCTCCTCATCGGACGGCTCGCTTATGTTCTTTCAATCTGCTGGTTAGCTTTCCCCCGTCTGTCCTATATAGTCACAGGGACCTGGAACCTGTGGACTGAGAATTATAACTGCAAGGCATGGAAAGGGTTGGACTAAAATAATATTGTTATACATGTGACTATCTATTAATTAGACATATTTAAAGGTTAAGCATATTGTATAATACAATTAAACAATAATGTTTTCCACTTTGGTCCAGAATACCTAGATATACGAAGTTGCTTGTTTCTATGCTGAAGATTTTGAATTTTGTACCTTTCCATATTCTTCAAAAATGGCATAAATTTGTTTATTTTGTATTCCTACACAGGAACAGCTACAACTATTGCTGCAGGATTAACATTAGGTAAGTATTATATAATCATTAACATTCCCTTTTCCTTACCTGAGAAGTAATAGCTGGAAATGCCCAAATGAAAAACATTGGACTTCAATGATGTGACGCTTAAGAACGATTGGTAACCTTTTATTATGAGTATAATTCAGCTTTTTCCTCTTGTAAAGTATTAGTAAACATGGCAAAGTAGGCAAATGCTAGATGAAGAAGTATACTCTCATATCAAGAAAACTTTGTAATTGTTTTATTGTTTAAGTGTGATGGCTTTATTTCAGGTTCTGGTTATTGTATGTGAAGCAAAGAATATTTTGAACCATTTTAATTTCAGATTAGCTTCTCTTTATGGATAGTAATTGGAATTCTTAAATGGGAATTGTTATATATATATTCCAAATAAATATGTATTTATTTATTTTTTCCTCAATATAAAGGAACATGAGTAGGTGCTGAGAGCCATAGTGGTGGAATCAGTGTTGAACTGAAACCTGGGAGACTTTATCACAGTGTGTGTAAAATATGTGTGTTGGGGGTATATTTCCTAAGAATAGAAATAACATAAAATTTTATTTGTATAAATAAATGAAACAAATTGGTTTTTTTATAGGTGCGCCTGTTTCTACTACTGCTTCTACTACTGGCCTTAGTTTGGGTTTCAGTAAACCTGCTGGATCAGCCACTCCTTTTGCTTTACCGATCACTTCCACTTCTTCTGGACTTGCATTATCTTCTGCCCTTACTTCTGCTCCAGCAGCAGGTACACTTGCAATAGTTCTGTCTTCAAGTTTTCTTCTCATTTTTCTGTTGTCTAAATTTTCTAGTTACAATTGTTACAAAAACTAGTTTATACTTTAGGTACTCTGTCACAATTCGATGATAGGAATTCTAAAGTTTATTAAGCTGAAACATTTAATAGAAGGAATATAGTAAAGTTATCTTTGAGTTGAGCTCAAGTCCTGAAGACTCCATTATACATCCATGTCATTGGCAACAGAGCAAAAATGTTTTGCCATTGCCACTTTCTGAGATATTTTCAACTGTCCAGTTTAGCCTGAAGTCCTGAGATTTCTTGGTTGAGTCCCATTCAAATACTAATTTTTTATCTTTTCAATATCACGTGAGGCTGATTAAATACTCCTAATGGCTACTTACAGTATTAATAACTGCAGCTAAGCTAAAAGAAGCTTCTGTGACTTTTTGACAGTCACAGAAAACTCTGCTTTTTTAATTAAATTTGTATAACCACCTATGTCACCAAAAATTACTTTGGACTGTATGCACAACTGGATAATTTTAAGTAATAAAAAAAACAAGGGTAGAGGATTTGAATCTACTTGCGATGCTGAGAGAATATTGGGCTCAATAATGTCACACTATTTGTCTAACAAGGCTTCAGGTTCTTTGTATATACTTAAGATGAAGTAATGACTCACTTAAAAGCACTTAATTTCAGTAGTGACTCGGATTCAGTAGTGAGTCAGACAGTAGTTCAGAACCAAGTGCCTTTCTAAACTTTTTTGTGGATTTATTGGAACTCTTGCATTTGAAGTTTTGAACATCATGAAGGAATTGATAGAATTTTAAGTATATGAGGTTACCAGTGAATGACTTCCTCTATATGGAAGGGTTCTAGAATACCAAGGACTCCTTAAGTTTCAACAAATGCTTAACAATGTTTGGTTTAAATAATGAACACCAAAATGGAAGTTATGTATATAGTCTTTATAACTACATTAAAATAGTATCAGTGTGCAACTGAATGGTTGTTGGGATAAAAAAAAATCAAGATGTATCATTTTGTTAAAAGTTCAGGATCTGAATTGCATTCTCTGCTTAAAATTCAGGCTCTTCTGGTTTTACATTAAATTTGGGAGGCACCACTGCTCCAACCACCACTGTATCTACAGGACTTTCTCTGGGGGGAGCCTTGACTGGTTTAGGAGGAACACTTTTCCCAAATGCAAGCACATCTACAACAGGTGATATTGCTCATATTTATTATTTAAAATTTTCAGAATGTGGATCTTATGCATGGATTTAATGTAATAATTTAAAGGATTATCAATCCTGCTAATCCTTTAAACTGAAACAAGTAGTAATTAATCTGATTTAAAAGCAATATTTGAATTTGTAGTTAACAGCTTCAGCTTATTGTATTCCTTTTTGAAATTAGAAATAATTTTTAAGCACAACCCCATTCTTCTGTATCTCACTGCAATCTTTGAACGCTTGTGTCTTCGGAAGACCTCTGTGTTATTGTTGATGGTGGGAAAGCAGGCTTAATGATAAGGACAATTTTAATTACAGATTTCTGTTTCTATCAGCTTATAATTTCAGAGTTTCTGCTGATAACATTAGAAGAAAATTCTTTCAGTCTTCATGGATAATACATCTTACTTCACAAAATCCTGAAACTTACCCAAAAATGTTTGCATTATTTTCAGGGCTTGGACAGAATGCTTTTGGTTTGACCCTTGGGACAGCTGCAGCATCTGCTACCACAGTTAATGAAGGTCTTGGTGGCATAGATTTCAGTAGCTCTTCAGATAGAAAAAGTATGTTTTTTTAAAGTACAATTTTGTAGTTATACGAAATCAGGAATATTTTGGGATTAATGAAACAAATTGCAGAGCCAATTGTCATCAAAATCCAAGGATTCCCTGTATCTTATAAATGGTATCCAATGGGTATTAATTTTTAGAAGCGAAACAGGTATTTCAAAGTAATTGAAAATTAAGTCTGCATCTTAGTGTATGCATTAATAAAGAGAACAACACAAATAAAATAACTAATTAATAATTAATATAGATAAATTTACTTGGATCATTTGAAATTAAATAACAATAGTTTTATTGACATATAAATCATGGCTTTTAGAACAAAAAGCAAATATCCAGCTTTATTTTCTATGCTCAACTTCAGTACTTTGTTTTAAATTAATCTCCCAGTTGCTGAATTGAGAGATGCATCTCATAAATTGTATTCATAATTATCATAATAATTAGACTAATAATAATCATAATTATTAGACTAAGAATGGTTTAAATCAAACTAGAAAATGTGCCTCAACATTTTTCAATGTCATGTTATCACCTAAACAGCTATCAGGAACTAATTTTCAGATAAATTTAGAGGGATTCAATCAAAATTATGAAGAAGTTTGTCTCATTAAACTAATGATTTTGTTGGTATCCTTTTTATTTTTTATAATGATTTTATTTTAAAAAAATCACAATTAAAAAATAAAAAAGAATAAAAACTAAAAAGAATAAAAAGAAGGATAGGGGAGAAAAGAAAAAATAGAAAACCCTTCTGGAGACTGCTGTTTTGCGGTTTTCTTGCAAGAAGCAACTATACAGAACACTTGTGAACAATCTTAAATCATCTCCTTGTCCAACGAGTTCTTCATTCTGCCACAGTCATCGAATCCACTTTTAGCGGAGCCATCTTCAGTTTACCATTTCTTCCCAGAATGTCTGCTCATGTCCTTAAAGAAATAAAGAAGATAATGTTGGTAAAAATCTATTTGATAATGTTAATAAAGCTAAGAAAGGCCTTCTGATTTGTAATGTTTGTTTCTAGGTGACAAAACAGGAACAAGACCAGAGTAAGTAAATCAAATATAATTACTCCCATTTCTATAAAACATAATGACTTAATAGTCTAGGTTAATTAAATTTAAATGGAAAGACTAAAATAATGAAGTTGGTGATAAAATGTTTGATATTTCAAGCAGGAAGATACAGCTAGGAATGCTTTGTTGATTTTTTACATTTCTTAACTCTGAATTTATCTGCTTGTCTGAGCTGAAAAAAAAAGTGAAGTAACATATACCTGACTTTCCTATTTAAGATTGTGATATTCAATGAATGTGATTTATATGGAATTGAAAGCTGAAGAATGAAGTTCTTCATCTCTAAATTGTTTTACTTTTTTAAATTAAAATACAAAATAGAAGATTATTAAAAATTGATTGAAATAATTCTTAAACTTAAAGAAACTGTATCTCAGAAAAAGAAAAGATGGGAAAAAACTAAATCTCAGATGAACTTTTTTTTTATTTCTACAATGTGATATAAAAAAAATCCTTGTGTGGCACTAATTTGCTGATAATAGAACAAATCTGTTAACAGGGATAGCAAAGCACTAAAAGATGAAAATTTACCTCCGGTAATCTGCCAAGATGTAGAAAATCTCCAGTAAGTAATTTCTTGATTCTTGCAATTCTTCATAGCTGTATATATTTTTAAAATTCTGAATTCCTTTAAAATTCATTTTGATAACTAATTGTGTTTGCATTTTCAAAATACTGAAAACTGTAAAAAGTCTGTATACACTTTCTAATATGCCATTGAGCTACTGCTATCATTGCTATTTCTAGTCTTAATCACTCATTTTGGCAGGGGGTTTCTTTTTTCTGATTTCCTCCCTCTTTTCTTACTTAGGAAGTTTGTGAAAGAACAAAAACAGGTTCAGGAAGAAATCAGCCGAATGTCTTCCAAAGCAATGCTTAAAGTGCAAGAGGATATAAAAGCTTTGAAGCAATTATTATCAGTGGCTGCAAGTGGATTACAGAGAAACACTCTTAATATTGATAAACTAAAACTGGAGACCGCTCAGGTATAGTTCCAAAGAAACTAATTTATTCTAATTTTAATGTAATAACATTAACAGTATGCTTATTTTGGGGGGGGGGGGGGGGGTGTGGGTTTGCTTGAATAATAGTTCTGCTTTCTGTTTATTCTGTTGAAATATTTGTTATCTCACTACTGTGTGTGTTCTAATTTTTAGTATATCATTTCTGGGAAACTGATCATTTGATAGCTGGCAGTTTTAATCTTTTTACTCGTTGACTTCTGTAAACTTATGTATTTCTAACCTTCCTCCCAGGTGCTAGTATTCTCATGCAGTATATAAGTGTAATTATGTAGATATATGGAGTTTAGCATGATCGATATGTTCAAGATAGTTGTACATCTATTTGTCTTTTTCTTTGTCTTCATATTTGTAGTCAGTTTTAAGGCTGGTTCCACTATCAGTTATTAATTCTCACTTGAGAAATAAATGACCAGGTTCAGATGATCACATGTTGAAAATACTATGCAAAGACCAGCCTCCCTTGAAAAGTCCATGAATGTAGGAAAGGTGGAGGGAAATGGAAGATGACAACAAGCGGCGAAATGGATGGAATTAATTATACCAGCAGTGTTTGAACTATTGGGATAAGGTTAGGGAGTAATCATTGTGGAAAATCTATTTTTGCAGATGCTAAAAGTCAGCAATTTGATAGCACATAATAATAAATCACCCTCATTCAGGCCTTTGTAGTGATTGGGGTAAATATATACAGGTGAGTAAAATGATCACAGCAAAATAAATAGCTATAACAAACTTGGAGATGGAAAAGCAATGCCTGCAAATCATTTTTCTAGTGATTCCATTCTAGATTTATAGTTTAAGGTTGTTATAATGGATATAATGTTTTTGTTAAGCTCATTTTTGGAAGATGATGCAATATAGTTGGTACTTGGAGTTCTACTTAATAATTGTGCAAACAATAATCTGATTTTACCTGACTTTCTTTCCATTGGCCTCAGTGATTTCAATAATGCAAAAATTTACTGTTGAGAATATTGATTAATTATCAGGAAAAATAGTTCACTAAAACATTTATATACAAATTTTGTTCTTTGGACTTTCAACTTCTGATTTTCCCTTTCCTCCTTCTGCAGGAACTTAAAAATGCTGAGATAGCACTAAGGACACAGAAAACTCCTCCTGGGCTTCAGCATGAAAATACAGCACCAGCAGAGTAAGTAGAAAATTGAAAGATCTGTTCTTAATAGAGATGTGCCAAAAACATCAGAGAGCCAATTTCCGTAATAGTTCATTATGCAAGAAATGCACTTCCTTTGGTTTGAGTGTTTCTTGGATTCTTAACAGGAATTGTATGCATTAGGAGTAATCACATCTGGTACTTGGAAGTGATTACAACTTCTTTTTTTTAAAAAAAAAAATGTTTTCATCATGTTTTTCTCTTAAGTGCTAACGGTGACTTATAGTAGTGGCCAAAATTGTGGAAACCTTTTGGGAAAAGTGTATTTTTGAGGTTTGATGGCTAATAACACTACTTTTTTTTTTTTTTGGAGTTTCAAGATAATATTCCACTGCTGGAGTGGTCTGGGCTATTCCCAGGCCCAGACTCCCAGGCTCAATTCCCTTAACCCAATTGAAAATCTATGGAGCTGACTAAAGAAACTTGTCAGAAGTGACCCAGCAATAAAACCCAGTTAATAGAAGCAATCATTCAATCTTGGTTTCATATTATAACAGCTGCAGAACTAAAAGATTTGGTTCACTCCATGGGAAGACGTTGTAAGGCTGTAATTCATGCTAAAGGTTACCCAACTAAGTATTAACTGACGTGATAATTTTTGTATATCTCGTTTTTTCTACATGTTTCACTTTTCTTCTTTATACTGTAACTGCTAATAGCAAATCCTTCATAAAAGTTATTGCATTACATTCTTGATTAAATTATAATTCCATTGATATATAATTTTATGGTACTACTCAAAAAAGTGGTGTTATTAGCTAGTTTTAGAAAACATTTTTCCCAAAAGGTTTCCACAATTTTGGTCACTACTGTATATAAGTCAAATCACAAACCAGTGATTTGTTGGATGTGTTATTTTATTTGATATGTTACAAATAAAAATATGAGAAGAAAAACAAAGCAAATTTAATTATTCTAGTCTTGGTCTTCAAAATAATTACATTTTTCTTTAGAGTGATACTTAATTCCACTTGAAATATACTTAATCTAGCTACTTCAGGATCTTGATTGAACAATTTGAAGTACAACTGCAGCAGTACAGACAGCAGATTGAAGAACTGGAAAATCATCTTGCTACCCAAGCAAACAATTCACACATAACTCCACAAGGTAAAAATGCACGTTTTAATATCTTGGTTAATTACACTATGCAGCATCTTTATGAGACAGGGACTTGTGGACAAAAAACAAAAGGAGGTGAGAAGTTCAGAAGGAGGATAATACCCATTTTCAGGTACATCCAGAGAAACAAGGGGAAGATAGTCATGAACCATTTTTCATGGCCCCAGAAAGTAGAACCAGATATATAAGATATGTTTTAGTCTACAGCAGGATTCCCCAATTCCTGGCTGTGGACCACTTTCAGGCTGCACAAGCAGTAGGCAAGCATGCACTCAGCTCCACACAAATGGAGCTATGCGTGCCTGTTACTCATATCAAACCATTCCCCCACCTTCCCACCGGGCCATCAAGCCATCAAGAAGAGGCCACCTCATGGATGGTTTAAATGTCTTTTCTGCACATTGTAGAAGTCTCAGAGTAAATTATCCTTGTGTTCCATTTTAGTACTGCAAATCTATGGTTATACATTTCACAATGATCAATGAAAAGTATGTTAGTTCTGTTGATAGCAATAAGAATTACGATTTTATATTGCAACAAGGTTTTATTTTTCATATCTCACAGATTTATCCATGGCTATGCAGAAAATTTATCAAACATTTGTAGCTCTAGCTGCACAGCTTCAATCAATACATGAAAATGTCAAGGTAAAATATATTTCCAGTGCATTCATATATTGTATAACATGTACAGCTAATGAATATCTTGCATTTTAATGGCTCTGATTTTAGCTTTTTGACTTGTGTTTTTGATTTCTTTGGAAGAAGAAAATGATAGTAGCATCTTGGGTGCTAACTGATCCTGTAGTAATACATAAGCCTCTTTTTTTAAAAAAAACAAGGAATAAGGAACTGATAAATTTCTTGAGGTGATTTTAAATGAAGAGTATATGAAATGTAGTAACTTTTTCATGGTTCTCTGTATGTGTGTATGTGGTAAGGGTTAGGAAAAAACAGATTAATAAAGCTTCCATAGAGAATAGTGGTCAGATGTTCTCTGCCTGTAACAAGTTCTTGAAATCAATCTGATTATAATTGATTTATAATGAAAAGTTGACAATTAGTCCTAATTATGGTAATAATATTGGAGTTGCTATACATATAACATCAGAAAAGAAAATCTGAGCTTTTTTAAAAAGACTTGAACATTGAACAAACTAAAGGTTATGAATAACATTGCTTTAAATGAAAGTATCAAACTTAGGGGTTGCATTAACAATAATAGCCCACATAAGAGGCTGCAAAATTTGGCAAGTCTTGTGTAAAGGGAATATGATTTTCTGCAATTTGGAAGTAAAATAACCAATGCAATATGTGTATTAAACTTCGGATATCCTTATCACAATTTTATTGAAAATACAAAAGAAAAATAAGTGGAAAAGAATCTGAAAATTCTACTCCAAGGAAATCTTCATTTTTACATTTTACTTGTGTCTCTAGTGTCCAAAAATTGTTACATAGTTATAGTTCCTGCCTGTAAAGAGTGTAATTCAAAATTATTAGTAACATAAATATTATATTATGGTAGCATATAATTTTAATAAAATATAACACATAATAGGGTTTTTTTTTTTCAGAATAGGAAAATTCTGTAAGGTGGATGCAGTGTAAAATAGTTTTCTTGTCTCTGTTCAGATGCTCAAAGACCAGTATCTTGGATACAGAAAAATCTTTTTAGGAGATGCTGTGGATGTGTTTGAGGCAAGGCGAGTAGAAGCAAAGAAATGGCAGACTGCCCCACGTGTTACAACTGGACCTACTCCTTTCAGCAACATACCAAATGCAGCGGCCATTGCCATGGCTGCAACACTTACACAGCAGCAACAGCCTGCTACAGGTCTGAGTGCATTCAAGTTATAGCTTTTAGTGTTACAACAATAATAAGCTGGTGTGATGTTTTATATAAGGTCTTCCTTTTGTTTTGGAAATCTGAAAATTGTGAATAGCAGTACATCGAAATATTGGTAATAGAAAACGCAGGCTAGACTTAGCAATAATTACACATCCAGTATTTAATCTTGCAAATTTTTTGTAACAGTTTTATTTACTGTATTACTCAGCCCTTTCAAATGTGAGTCTGTCACCTCTGAATATGCATAGGATAACACCTTCGAAAATTAGGATGCATTGTATGAACTTTTATAATTTGTCTTGACTATTCTCCTATACTGATAATTTGTTTTGAAGTCTGATTTAGAATGGTTTTTCTCATGGAAGATTACAGGGCTTTTCTATTATTTGTTACATAGCACTTTGTTGTTGGAATAAGTCTAAGAGAACATAAAGACCATTTTTATAGATCCATCAGGAAGATGCTAAGTTTTGAAATTATGTATAGAAAAAAATATTTTTAAAATTACAACCACTGGGAAATTCGCATGGATAGAAGTTAAGGAGAGGTGTTGATTTCCTCTTTAAAATATACTCTATTGGCCATCCAATGTAGTCTGAGCTTAAAAAATAGTGACTGCTTAAGAGTTCTGGATTTACAGGTTACAACTCAAACTAGTTTAGGACCTAGTTTATACTGGAGTAGTCTCTTCCAGACATACCTAAGAACATGCTTAGGTTTTTCTTCTGTACTTGACAAACAGTAGTGTAGTATATGTATGCATACTTTACTATGTAGACAGCCTTTAACTGAGGTACAGCTGTTAAATAATGGGATCTACAGGGTATTTCCAGCATTGACATAATAGGTGTTGACAGCTGGAGGAATCAAATGAAGCTTAGTGAGAGTGACATGGTTTATACATCCTTCTATTTTTACTGTAGCTACGTATTTAATCTGTTATAGTTTAAACCTTCTGTTCTAAGTGTATTCATATATGTGATAATGTTATAGTGCTTTTACAGTTTTATGCAGAGGGGGAAAATATTTAGACTCTAAGTTCCAAAATTGTAATGTTCAGATTTCCCCCCTTAAATTACTGGTAATGCTGCAGAAACTGCTGTTACAATCCTAAATACCTTTACCTGGGGGGGGAAAATAATCCACATACTTTGCTCCCAAAGTTTACTCCAGCGCATTCTCCAGTTTTCTGGAGAAGATTCAGAGGGGTCCTAGGTATGAGAAGTAATTTCTGTGAACCCAGGTGGCTGACTGAAAGAATTCCATTAGAAAGAAAGGTTCATTGAGTTCATCTCATGAGTGAAGTAAGCATCATCACTAGGTTTTTCAGATATGGGGAAAATGTAATTCTTTAACTGTGGTTGTGCAATATAAATGATGTTGGGTTTAATTTAAATTTCTCACATACTTTTGTTCAGAATATAGAACAAAATCTATGCGTAGATGCCTCCGCATGGCAAAAGGCACTTAATTTTCATCAAATACTTTGTATTTAACTGAGTGCCGAAGGAAATTAATGTTTATGTTTCAGTTCCAAATTTATTAGAATTATGAAAATAAGAACTTGCAGATTCTTGGCTTGCAGTACAATAATATTGTTTTAGTTGTGAATACCTGTGAATAAATGTGTCAACATTTGGAAGGGTGACAGTGACCTAAGCAAACCACTCAATCACTGGCCAGATGGACCAGTGATTGTTTTGCACTTCTTTGCTGTGACCTTCAGCCCATATTTAAACTTTGTTATGCTCATCAAAGAACAGCAAACAAATTATAATATTTAGTTGGCTTTCATTTTATGTTTAAATAATATATGGTAGGTTGGTGTTAGTGAGATTAGATGTATGTGAAAATGTTTGTGTTTATGGTGTTGAAGAGACTTCCTATAATAGATAAATAAGTTTCTTTGAAAGGCCATTAAAAATCATTGATTAATCACATTTGAAATATTAAAAGAGCTTGCATTTTTAAAGTCCTAAAGCATTTTTGTAATTACAAGCCAATGCATAGGGAATGGTTACGTCTTTGTAGGAAAATGTGTTTGCTCTACTTTAAAGCATTATTTGCAATTAAACTGTGCCAACTTCAGCTTTGGCTATTTAGAAATTAAATTAATAATTTATTCCTTTTTAAAATCTTACTCCTAACCCTAACCATTCAAGCAAAGATGGTTTAGTATAGATAGCTAGACATAATCGTGTTTCTCCATTTTGGGCAATTAAAGAATTGGCTATTTTACCTCAGGGTTGGGGAAACTATCACTCTGTAACTCTTACTGAATTGCAACTTCTGGCAATCTTAGCCAGAGGACTTGGAATCTTTGAAGTTGTAGTTCAGCAAGTCTCAAGGTTGCTTCCCTCTGGTTGTGTAGTTTTAACACCTTTCAGCATTGAAAGCTTTACTTTGTAATTCAATCTTGCTGAGAGTGCAGTTTAAAACACTTCTTGGAATGAATACCCTCAGCATGAATACTAAATTGGACCTTCTGTTTCAACAAATGTTGGATAAAATTGAAGGTTTTACTACAATATTGAGATTAAATTAAGATAATTTGACTTTAATAAGAAATGTATTAATCAGATTCTTGGCCAGATGTGTAGAATTTATGCTTTACACCTTTATTTTTTGATACCAAACAGTTTGGACAATGATATTTGGCAAGCTTAATACAGAATATTTATTCTGTCCGGGCTCTTAGTCTGCGATCCCAAACATAAATTATTAAGGGAAGTCCCATTGAAAATAGTGATACTTACTACTGAAAAGCACAAATAAATTGCTGTAGTAGTAGTGAGCTTTATTTATTAAACTTAAATTGTTCTTTAAGGTAATAAATTTTAAATAGCTTGCAGCATATAACTTATATTTTAAATGATTCATAACATGTTATCCAAAGGTGACAAAGTTTATTTTGGCATGGATAATCTGTAGTATTATTTAAATTATGTCTGGATAATTAACTTGAATGAGGTTGTTTGATTTTCTGATACAGAATTGTGCCAATTCAAAATTGCTATTTAGTTGAAAGGTTTTGTCAGTTTGAATTATGAAATCTTATACTTATAAAGTTTAAATATAAAGTCTGTCTTGAACTACTTTAAAAATCTGGAGAAAAAAAGTTGGTTTGGAGGACTGTGGTGTTACTATTTTTCAAGATCTTTCACCAATGGTGCCGCCTCCTGAGATGGAAAACTGATACACTTCCTTAAAAGTGGAACACTGGATGCTTTTTTGTTTTTAGAACCTAACTAACTTCAGATTGAGAACTTTTTAAAGAGCTTCTGGTTACTAACATATATTAATTTGTTTATATCTAGTTTCATTTCTAAATGCAAAATGTCTTTTAAAATATTAGATTCAGAATTAACTAATTCCTTGAAATCAATGTTTTTTCTCATTCTTATTTAAAATAAAAATCAAGTTCAACTGACCCAAAGTCTTCAAATAATATGTATAATATATGTTTAAAATATAAATGAAACCTCAGCTTGCCAAAATAAGTCTTTTAATTGCAAGTTCACAACACTACTTGCCCTTTAACTTATGCTACCATGAATATTACAACCTCTTTTTTGCATTGGGTCATCTAGAATGAGACGTTCCTTGGCAAAAGATTTTCTAAAAGTGCCTTTTGCTTAATATATGATTATTTCTTTAAGTAATGGTTGTGAGAACTTGAAGTTCAAGCATTTATAACTTTATAAAACCAGAAAGGGACCATGCATACTGTCTGACCTGTACATCAAAGTCTGCAATTGTCATCAGTATTAATGTTATTTTAAATTGAAATCATGGTAGATGAATGTATTATAATGCAATAATGAGGTAGAATTTTGGGGGTGGGGTTGTATTTTAAATAGAAAATAATAAATATTCAGGAAAAAAATGAAATGTAAAAAACCTTGGAGTGTTTTAAGTAAAATACTTGCTGGCAAACACTATCATATTGATTAAACCTCCCACTTTGATGATTGCACCATTGGATTTGTAAGTAACAATAGGACATTCATTATTAGAAGGGAATCCAGCAAGTGCTGTTCTGCATTGTCTTAGAACAGTATTTTCTAGATTTTACTGTTGGCCTTCAGCATGATATAATAAACAGATATAAAAAGGCAGGCACAGTATTTGAACTTGACAAAGTCATCAAGTTTAATTAATGCACTAATTGCTGAACTTAAACAGTTTACTGTGAATACTGTCAAGTAGCTTGTATAAATTAGTCAAAAAAAAATCTAGAACTTTTGTTTCACATTATTTATACCTGGGGCTAATAAGGAGATTTACCACTCCTACCCTGGACTGATGCTAGACATTTTAACAATGATATAAAGCCTATTTTGACAGTCTGCTTATGTAGGGAAACCACTGTCTCCAATCTTCTGAATCTGAAATTTTTTTGAATGTATTGGGCAAGGTACACAATTGTGCCTTTTCTGTAAATGTTTAAATAAACAGGCAAAAATTGTTGTAAATGTAGCAAAGTTCTAACAACTCAGTAACTATCATTTTTTTGTGTGAACCAGCTTGAATTGTCATGTTACTGTGTAATTGACTTGCTCAAAAATGAAAAATAAATTCAATAAAATAAAATTATTGTGTTGTGTTTTATCCACTTGTTTCGTTTGTTTTTTAAAAAAAACTGGATAAAATACTCAGCTGAGTATTTTAATACCAGACATTGGTAACATGATGATTTTATTTGTGTTAATATAAACCTTGATTTTAAAAGAAGCGCTGCTCACATATACTCCCGTCAAGGAGCTGACAGTTTAATTTTAAAATGACATGCTGAGTTGTCCATAAAAACCATGGTCTCATGCTTTGACATAACATAAACGTTTTACCAGTAGCTTCATTTTTGTATTGCATTCCAAATCTAAAATTTAGCAATTGAAGACACTAAGAAAGCTTGGGTGCTCTAAAAAGCATTTGTTAAGCTATGATTTAGTTTTAATGAAGGGTTTGCATCATGGGTCTCTGTTGTGAAACAGTAAGGCAAGCTTTGTTTTCATTTTTTTCATACCAGGGCCACAGCCGACTCTGGGAATTAGTTTTGGAACGCCATTCGGTTCAGGTATTGGCACTGGCTTGCAGTCAAGTGGCTTAGGCTCTTCAAGCCTTGGAGGTACCCTTCTTTTTTTTCCTAATGTTTCACTGAATTACTCTGCAGCACTTCCTGAATTGAATTCGTAGCACACTTCACTGGTGTTTGCAATCTTTACATGTATCAGTCCGCATTGCTGGACTCCTTATAAATGGATATGAAATATCCACAAGCCCCTGATTAATCTCAATGTGCAGCTCACATAAAAAAAACAAACCAGTGCAGCTGAAAGCCTTTCTTGAGAGAGTGGGAAAATGGTAACCTTAGTGCCCTTTGGACTTTTTATTGTTCACAGATATGCTTTATTTGCATTGTTATTTTTTTGTTCATTGTTATTCCTGATTTATTTCATTATCTCTGTTGGGAAAACGTTTTTGGTAATAAGGAGTCATCTTTTTTTTTCCTGGAATTTATTTAGGTTTTTAAACTTTTTTTTTTTTTTTTTTACTTCAATGGACATTTAAGTAAATGTCCATCATTTGGGGAGGCAAAGATTATTTCCTAAAATGTTATTGAATTGCATGTTTGCAGAAATCGTATTAAATACATTTATAGTTTGTTATGTATCTTAATTTTATGGAATAAGATGCATATAAACTGCATTTTATTTTTTTATTTTAAAAAAATCCCAAAATATGTTAATATATTAATGTACCAGTTTTCTTTCTCTGGTGATATTTCAGTGGGAAGGGTAACCATTAGTCTGTTGTTAATACACAGAAATTCTAATTAACCACACTTCAAGAAATGTATTAATTTACGTAAGATTGTGGACAAGCCTGGAGATCTTTTTTCTTTTCACCAACCCAAATAAATTAAAAATGATGCAAAATGCAGCCTCAGTAGTGGTGTAATTACATTATTATGCAATCAAGGATAAATAGAAGTATGGGAGTTAACTTGCAAATATGGACATCAAAGAAATGTTAAAAGATTAACTGCATTCAGACTTCACAAATAATCATCTTGTTAGTTGTATTATGTTGCAGTCATATTTTCCCTTTCAGAGGACTAGTTTCTTAAATCAAAAAGCAAATGGCTTAAAACTTCCATTCACTTTCCTATTTAGTTACAAGAAATTAAGCAGTAAAATAAACTTTGCTTAGTATTTCAATTGTTCTGCAAGCTATCATATCAATGTAGAGCAGGGGTGTCAAACTCGCATCATCACGGCGGCATCACATAATGCATCGAGCCCGCAGGCTGGGAGTTTGATAGTTCTGATGTAGAAGGATGTAATGCGTTACAAAATCTACCCAAAGCCTTTTTTTCAGATTCAGTATTTGGCATTATTTGGCAGTGAATAGCAGAAGACTCTATCCATTTATTATCACAAATCTTTCCAATGCAGCTGGCGGAAAAGACAAGTCTATATATTTATTTTCAAGGGGCCATAAGTGGGCTAATGATGCAATGTCCTTAAGTGTATGACTGCTGAAATGACAGGAATTTTTAAATAAATTAAGCTTTTACTATATCTGAAGTAATTTTTTACTTCCTAATTTTATTTATTTAAGATAATCATACAACCACCCATCTTTAATCAACTCTCAATTGTATACACATTTATAACATGGAAGAAATCTGGTTTTTACAGTTTTCAATTATTATGTGAATAGTTTGGGATTTAATTAGGAAATACAATTAGTCTGTCTATAGTATCTTAAGTTTAACCTGAAATTTATGAGAAAAAAATTCACAATAATAAAATAGTCACTAATGTTAATAAGATTTCCTTTGATAAAACTGATAAAACTTTTTCAGAGCACCTGAAGAACATACAGGTTTTAGCAGAACTTTTTATAGTAGGCTTAGGAAACACTTTAAAAACCTATAATACTTGAAGTTTGATCGGTGTTAGCAGAAATTCCACCGTAAGTTCTGCCTTGCTTGAAGTAAGAAAAATATTTCCTTTCTTCCATGTGCCTTCAAAGTGTTCTCTGAAGCATGTATAGCAGTGGTGGCTGAAATTGACTTGTGCAAACAGATTCTTCCTTGGTTGCACATAAAAAGTACAAAGGGGATCTGATTAGCAGGACTAAATCTGGATCCACTGTAAAGTTTCTTGAGATTATAAATTATTATGAGGGGATTTCTGCCTCTGCAACATTCACTATTAAAGATTTTCTGTGTAAAGGTGTTATTTCCAACATGCCACTTTTATTATACACTTTATACATACCTACCAAAGATATTGCATCTAGTGAAAATTCATTGCTGTAGTATGTTTTATAGTTTTTAGGGTTATTAGCCATAGACAATTCAATTTTATCTATTGGTTTTTGCAAGTAGTGGTTGAGCAAAGGCAGAATGAATAAAATAGGTTGCCTACAACAAGAAGAGATGACAAAATTATCTATAGGCTCATGTCATTTTTTTTAAAAATTGCAAACTGATGGCTGACAGCGGATGCCTCATGTGGAAACATTTAAGGTATTTCCTTATTCATAAAAAAGAATGAAAAGGTGTGAAGTCTAGAATTAAAATAACAATATAAGTAAGTAATACAAACTAAGATGGCTGACCACTGTCAGATTTGCAAAGTATGTGCAATGAATCAGTGGGTTCTTAATATAGACACGGGCAGAGTACCAAAGGGATGTTGATTTCAGTTTAGTTAGACTTTAGAGCCTCGTTGATAAAATATTGTGTGATAAACTTAACACATTGTGTGATTAAAAGCAATTCGACCTGTGCACCTTAACTTGTGTTTCCTATCTGCTACTGTTTGTCCTAGGATTTGCAGGTAGCGCTGGTTTTGGAAGCAGTGCTCCAGGTGCGCCATCGTTTGGATTTGGAGTGGCAAATAAGCCTTCAGGAAGCCTTAGTGCAGGTTTGTTCTGTTCTGAATGTTTAATGGGGCAGTTAAGTTTTCTGTACAAAGTATTTTGGTCACAAAATACAGTTTTGTGATATTTTCTATGTAGGAATTTACAATCATTCTTACAAATGAGGTCCTATGAAGAATGTTGACCCTAAAATATATCAGAAACATTCAGCTGCTCATCCAGATATTCCAATCTGAGAATGGAAAAAGGGATGTTTTGGTCTTAGAATATTCATCCTTGTACTTTTCTGCTTTAAGGAAAAAAAATAATTTTATTGGGCTTCCCTGCTATACACCTAAATGGCACTGCCTCTTTGTGCTTGACCAATTTCCCCCTGAATAAAAAGGCCTTTAAATATATTTATTATATCTATAATGATACTTATTCTCTGCACACTTTGAAAATTATTCAAAAGAAGTACTCTGGATCTCGCCTTTTTTTTTCCTTTTCAATAACAGTCTAATTTTTTTCAGGCTTCCATGTGGGCCACTTGTAATGAATGTTCTCAAAATACTGGGTTTCATTTCTGTCTTTAATGTTAATGTGACTCTTAAAACAATAGCACCTTTTCCAGATTTGCACAAAAGGTTAAAAAATAGTTGGGCACAAAAGGTTAAAAAATAGTTGGGCGGTTTTATTGATTGGAAAAGAAGTGCTCTGCTTACTCAGTGTTTGAAGCATTTTTTCCAAATCACTGTTCAGACATCCTGCCCACATAAACTTAATAACTTTCCTGGTACATTTTGGGTGAGTTAGGATTGCAATTCCCAAAAATTTGGATTAGTCAGGCTCATTGGGAATTAAGGGAGTTGTGATTCCAGCTTATATAGAGGCCTTCAGGTAGCAAAGATTGACTGTTATTTTGCCTTGTGATAAGGTTATAAGCTTCTGAGAGTTACATTGCTTTTGAGCTAAAGGTAAAGTTAATTTGAAATGTCTCTTATTTTTAACTCTGAAAGTTAATTTAACGTCTCTTTAAATTAAAAATTCAAATCCTATAAACCTATGTTCCACTCATGGTAAAATTGAATAGACATAATACTAGCTTCTTTCAGTCTCCTAATAATATTGTCCATATTATATAGATTATACTTCATTTAGCATTATTTGAGCTTCCCATGCTATGTAGCTTATCAGGCAGCAAGGGATCCCCAGCATTTTCAAATTGCACTTCACGCTTAAAGAACTCAAAATCCGTTGTACTTTATGTGATCACATCTGTTCACTTTGAAATGTTTTCCCCTCCTTTACAAGGCTTTGGCAATTCGAGCACATCTGGGTTTAACTTCAGCAATCCTGGCATCACAGCATCTGCTGGCCTGACATTTGGGGTGTCCAATCCAGCCTCTGCAAGCTTTGGTACAGGAGGACAACTTCTCCAGCTGAAGAAACCCCCAGCTGGAAACAAAAGGGGGAAAAGATAAATATGAAAAAAAGGATGGGTGGGATAGGGTCAGGTGAAAAAAAAAGGACTATGCTTTCATTTAGTTCATCCTGAAAATATATATTTTTTTAAACTGATATAGTAGGTGCTCTGTGTCCTTGGAGATTTATAACATTTTGCTACTTCTTCCCATTATGGGCTAAAAACTGTAATTGTTACAAATGCTCTATTTTTTGTGAATCAAAGCTTCTTTGTCTTCTATATATGTAATTATTAAGGAAACTTATAAAACCATCTATTTAATGTAATGTTGGTAACAAATTATTTTTGTCAATATGATTTCCGCCATACATAGGTATGCATATTTGGTTTCTTTTTAAAGTGAAAGTATATTCTAATATTCAGAATCTTAAATCCATATCTTCTGTTTTGTGATATGGCCTTTTAAAAACATCAGGGTGGTTTTGTGTATATGTATGTAAATATATACAGTATAATGAACACTCACGTATATGAATTATATATAATGCATTTCAAACCATGTGGGTTATTTCTAAGTGCGAGTTTGGGGTATTCTATCATGTCCTTAAATACTGTTAGCATATGCAAGAGCAGTTGTAATATCTACTGCATGTATGATATTGTGACCTGTTTGGGTTCTCTCTTTTTTTCCATTTCATTTTTCCTTCAAAGCATTAACTGAATTTGGTGTTCACTATAAGCATTCTATATGGATTTGTTTCTGAACTGTTGTGATCTATCTTTAGAGAGAAAGGCTTCAGAAGGCTTTTTGAGAATTTTGGAATGGCCTCAGTTTGCATAAAATGTTCATGTGTGATTGATGGGTGCCCACAGTTTAACATGGACAGAGAATTGTCATACATGACTCTGTGACAATTTATCAGGAGAGTAAAGCTCTTAACTAAAATTCCCTGCAAATTTAATTTGTTGCAGCATTTCCCATGGACTTTGTTTTCTCATGTTATACAGTTCATCCAAGTAGAAATTGCCTAGGCCAGAAGTCTTCAAACTTGGCAGCTTTAAGACTTGTGGACTTCAACTCCCAGAATTCTGAGAGTTGAAGTCCACAAGTCTTAAAGCTGCCAAGTTTGAGGACCCCTGGCCTAAGCCATGGCCTTTGTAAACCAGATTTACGCTGGTAAATTTATGCTGAGGGATTTTTCTACCATCATGAGGAAGACCAACTGACCTCAATTGCACCATTCCAAACAGATGCATAAAATCTCCAATCTGGAGTTGATGCTTGCCTATCTTAAGTAGATAGCAGGTTTCTTGCTAGCTTATAAATCATAGGATGAAAGATGTTTGTTAATTAATAATTTGTTTTCAGACAATTTCAGCAGAACAATTCTTACTCTGGTTGAGTTTATAGTATTGTTGAGCTGTATACCCAACTACACAAATGTTTAAAGAGAAGCAACAGGAATATTTATTGCCTTAAATGATGGGTTAGAACCCCAGTCCTTGAACTGTGCTGCTAGCGCTGACCCCATTTAGTTCCACAGGGTTTGTGCTAGGGCCTTTTTTTTTTTTTTTAAGAGTCAGATTGTAAATCTCTACAGCACGTGTGTACAGAATTTTGGTGAAGTCTAACCTTTTTACACAGAGAATATTTTGTATATAACTCAAAGAAATGTTCACAATTTGACTGAGGCACCTTTCAGAAACAAACAGGTGTATGTACATATCCTGGTTATGAAGTTGGCTGCTTTCAGTTCAGTACTATTTTTGTAAGTTCCGAATGTTTTATGTCATACAAGAGCGAGTTGTCTGGCCAAATGTGAGTTTTGAATGCGATAGATTCAGAGCCTATTTAGCACAAGGCTTTTCATATTGGTTGTGAATAGCACCAAAGTTTGAAGGTTTTTATTTTTATTTTTTCATTGTGGAAGGAGGAGGTTTTTAATTTTTGTTGAATTAAGGAGGGTTAAATGAATTTTGTTTTAAATTTGTATTGTGTTGCGCTTCAGTTAAAGTTAGTAGACCTGATATATGTATGTTACGGCTTTTTACACAATTACAGTGTTAAATCACTGAGTTCTTTAATGTATATAATTTGTGAAGCTATTTTTTAACAGTGCTGCTGTCTTTGTCTGTGTGTGCAACTTTTTGTTTCTCAAATAAAACTGTTTGAAGGAAGTATGTCATTGACATTTGCCTTAATAACTTGCCTTTCTTGTTTTCTCTAAGGCACAAAATCACATTCCATGGTTTCTTTGGACAATAACATTTTGGCCTTGTTCATACATATGTATACATACCTACATAGCAGTAGTGGGTTGCCCCCCAGTTCGCACTGGTTCTATAGAACCGGTAGTAAAACCGGCAGGAGGCTCCGTCCACTGACCTTGACATCAAAATGCTTCTGTGCATGCGCAGAAGCTTCTGCGCTTGCACAGAAGAGCAAGCGAAGCGCGCGCGGCCCCACTGCGAACCAGTAGTAAAGGTAAGTAGAATCCACCCCTGCTACATAGATACACAGAGAGAGAGAGAGATAAATGGGTGTGTGTATGGATTAACTGATAAATATTTTAAAATAATTGGCATACTATTAGTTTTAATAATATGCCAATCCAATCTATTTAAAAAGTGACATTTTGTTCTATGAATAGGATGTGTCACTTAAATCAATACATCTTTCAGAATTCTTGCTTTTATTGAAATTCATTTTGTCTTTCATGCAGATGACACATCTATATAGACAACTAAGACGTGATAATAAAAAATAATGAATTTTCCCCTTTGCTATATAGTCAGTTTCAGTAGGTTGAAGTGATGTAACTTTTAATTTGTAGCTGGATTGTACAAGTGAAGTATTTGTGTTCTGTTTCAATGGAGTTCGTCCAGAAAAGGCATTGTTTCTTCAGCTCCTACTTCAGTGGAATTTGCACAGAACAATTTCTCATGACTGAATGCCCCAGGTTAGTCATTTTTTGTGAAACAGATGCTCTGGATTTTTCATGCTTTGCATGAAGTGTTTCAAAGATTCTGAAGATTTCTTGATTGTGTAAATTATTTTGAAATCCCATGTACCTTTCCCAGGATTGTTCAGTGAGATAAAAGAAAAATTGTTTGCTAGTAGATAGTTTATATGGCAATGCAATTCATATTTTCAAGGAAGACACTATATATGTGGATGCTTGCATGTCTGATTAAGAAGTCCAAATTGTGTGGGCAACTCCAGCTAAAAACTTGAAATAGCAAGTGTCAGGAAATCATCTAAACCAGAACTTGAAAAATCACTGTAGATAAAGGAAAAAAGTATTAGTGTATACAATTAGAATTTTAGTACTGGAAGATAATCTTAGAGGTTGCTTAGGCCAACTCAATTTAGCAATCTTGAAACTACAAATCCATAATAGACTCTAGCTTTTACAAAGAATCCATTACAGTAGTGAGATTCTTTTACATTGTCAAACAGCTCTTAAGATTATTAGAACATTGTTTCAGCTCCCAGAATTCTCTAGTCAGCTTGGAGTTGAATTGAACGCATCTTAAAAGGCTGAGGTTGAGAAATACTAGCAGTATGTGGGAAAGAGGAGGAAAAAAAGGTTGTCAGAAGGAAATTAGGCTGGCTTCAAAAATCTGATCAAGTTTATTGGATTAAACATTCTCAGCCTAGTCCATTTTATAGGGCGGATTAAAAGCCAAAATGACATTTAAAAATGACTGGCTTTAAGGATGAAATGATAAGGGCTTTTTTCCATCATGGTTACCGTGTGAAAATACTGTCAGGTTATCAAAGAAGTTTAATATTTTGTCATTTATTGAATTCACCCCCTCCCTCATTGTCATGGTGCAAAAAGATTTTGGCATATCAGTGATGCTGGTAATTCAAACCCTGGTAGAGGACAAACAAGAACTTGGTATTGGGAGAAGGAAGGAAGTTGGAACAGTGGAGTGAATATAGGGTAATTTGTGGATATGACACTTGGAAGAATATGGGGTTTATTATGGTCAGCATACAGCTTGTTGGCACCATGAAGCTCTATAAGAGTGGGGAATCAGTTTGTCTGCCTCAAAGCCCTGTGTGTCCCGCTTGTTTCCATCTGGGCTTTAAGATATTCGGTTTAGTGAGTCAGTCTGCACACATCTATAGTCGATTTCTGTAATTCTGAAAGGAAAAGAATATTTTCAGTAATTGCTCCAAGTGGCTTCTCCAGCCGGCCGAATCTGAGATACCACTTGCAGAATGAAGGAGCTGGCTTAAGGGATAGGAAATAAATGTAGAGTTGACCTTTGGATAGGGAAGCAGTGGTGGGTTTCAAATTTTTTTACTATCGGTTCTGTGGACGTGGCTTGGTGGGCATGGTATGGCGTGGCTTGGTGGGCGTGGCAGGGGAAGGATACTGTAAAATCTCCATTCCCTCCCCAATCCAGGGGAAGGTTACTGCAAAATCCCCATTTCCTCCTGCTTAGCTGGGACTTGGGAGGCAAAGAATAGATGGGAGCAGGGCCAGTCAGAATTTTTACTACCGGTTCTCCGAACTACTCAAAATTTCTGCTACTGGTTCTCCAGAACTGGTCAGAACCTGCTGAAACCCACCTCTGTAGGGAGGTGGGTTTGTGTGAGCTACCAAGAGGGCCTTGCAGAAAGGTTACACAGTGCTAAAAAAGAAGAAAATGTGAGGAGAAAAAACAACTGCATCTTGATTTTGTTTAGAACAAAAGGGAGAAACCTGGACAGGTTTTCAAAATTCTGCCTTTACCTTACTACTGTACAATAAAGAGCATTTCTGGAATCTCTGCCTCGCTTATTTCTTGACCTGGCCTACTTCAAATGTCTAGCAAAATGAAGTGAACAGCAATCTTGACAATGTGAGCACTGTCACCTACATGCTGGATCATTGGCCCTTCCTGCTCCTTTGGTTAGTCAAGGGAGGCATGGTTTTTTGGATCAAAGTGATTAATTCTTTGAGAAAGCATGCAGTCTCTGTTGCTATGATAGAGATGATGATGCACCTTTTCTTGAATAAGCCATCTATTGATCCAGCCATATTGGACAACTTCCACCCAGGGTCTAATCTTCACTGTTTGACGATGGTTTCACTTATTTCTAAGTGAAAGGTTTCAGCTAGTGTTTATCAGTATTTGCATTTTATATATGTTTATATTTAAGTGTAGTATTAGACCTATTCTTTCAACAACAATCCTATGACATAAGTTGGGACTAAGAGACAGTGACTGGCCCAAAGTCCTGCATGAGCTTCTACGTCCAAATCTGGCCATGAACCTAGTTCTCCTTTATTCTACTACAGGTAATCCTCGAACACAATTGAGCCCAAAATTTCTATTGCTAAGCAAAACATTTGTTAAGTGAATTTTGCTGCATTTTATTACTTTTCTTGCCACAGCGGTTAAGTGAATCACTGCAATTACCAAGTTAGTAACATGGTTATTACGTGAATCTGTTTTCCCCATTGACCCCGGGACATTGCAACCATCATAAATAAGTGGCCAAGTATATAAATTTTGATCATGGGGATGCTGCAACGCTCATAAGTGTGAAAAACAGTCATAAGTCACTTTTTTCAGTGCCATTGTAACTTCGAACAGTCACTAAATGAACTGTTGTTAAGTCGAGGACTAAGTACTAAATTCAAACCTTTGGCCATTTTCTTCTGTGATGTTACAGGCTTTTATTTAGTTTCCCCATGTTGTTCAAGCCATCTATGAATCTGCTTGGAAAGATCAGTCATCAATATATAGATGATACCCAGTAATATATATCGAGGCCAGACTGAGCAGAAAATGCTATGGATGCTTTTAACCCAGTGTAGCAGAAATGAGAGAACGAATGGGGGACAAAACAAGCTCAAACTGAATCCAAATAAGAGGGAGTTTGTTCAAAAATCACCAGCCCATTATGACAACTGTGAATAATTAGCTGGTGAAGGTCATTGCCAGGAGTCCTTTACCTACCTCTGCCTATATGCAAGCTGCAAAAGCCTTGATCACCCAGTATCACAGAAGAGCCATGGTGGCGCAGTGGTTAGAGTGCACTACTGCAGGCTACTTCTGCTGACTGCTGGCTGCCTGCAATTTGGCAGTTTGAATCTCACCAGGCTCAAGGTTGACTCATCCTTGCATCCTTCCGAGGTGGGTAAAATGAGGACCCAAATTGTGGGCAATAGGCTGACTCTGTAAACTACTTAGGGCTGTAAAGCGGTATATAAGTCTTAAGTGTTATTGCTATTGCTATCACACCATCATAAACACAAGATTAGATTATTGTTGGGGCTGCTTGTGACTCCCCAAAAGTCATAGTTCTCAGAATGTGGAGACTGGTTGTTGAGAAGCAAGTGGTTCTATAGAAGAGTAATGTTTCTGTTGCAATCGCTTCCACTGTATTTGCAATTACAATTCATAGTGCTGGTTATGACCTATAAAATCTGATAATAGATTTTTTGTTAAATATGGGACATTTCTTAAACTCAGTTTGTCTTTCCTGTGAGTTTAAACTAAGAACAAACTGGGTCAACGAATTGATCTGAACATACTGCTTTGTTCAAGATCCATCTTGAAATTTACCTTAATTTTTCCAGTGGGTTTTATAATCAGTAATTTTATTACTTATTATAAACATATCCCCAATACTCTTGTCCCAACACTTATAGATGTGGGGAAAGCATTCTGAGCTTTGCTTCTTTATTAATAGCAGGAATTATCATCCATTCAATCTAACAGTTCTAATCTAGCCAGTATCATTAAAAGTTCAAGTTTGTTGTCAAATGTATGTTTGGAAGAAATATCTGAAGTCTTGGATGGCCTCAAGGAAATGAAGTTCCAGCTGTCATAGCAGTGTAAAATAATAGGAATATATTAATTCTAAGCAAAAAGGAGAACAAAATGAATCAACCTAAAATTTCACTAAAATGTTGTTGGTATATTAAATAAAACACTGAAGAAATTAGTTTTCTTCGAAGCACAAGCTTTATAGCTGGGTATTACCATTTATCTACATTTCCACTAGATGGCAGTGGTTACCAGGTTATTTATTTCCCTGTTGATACCAAGGCTATTATAGTATCTTAGATTTTTGCTTCCCATTTCCATACAAAACTCTACATTACTATAAGAGGCTCCTATATATTTCTGTAAGCTACACCAAAACTCTTATTCATCCTGAACATGTGGGAATA